ATTGGAAAATTAAAAATTCTACTTTGTTTATAAACATATTTTAGCATTATTAATTTATATTTGTTGTGCAATAAATTCTGAAGGGTCTTCGTGACTGCCACATGTCACAGCATTCTGGGGTAACTTGTAAAGTGGGGGCAAACCTTTCACATACAGACCGACTTTTCAGCATATTTAGTGGATCTATCTCTCTCCACATGTCTCTCATGCAAGCCACGCACATATGCAGAGGCAGTATATAAACTTATTTTTTTTTTCTTTATGATTTATGGAAGCCCTCCGGGCAGTAAAAAATCTCTCATTCTTCTACACATATGTCTCATCAAGAGAGAGAGAGAGAGCAACTCTTTATAATTAATAATAAAAAAAGAAAAACACCCAAAAAAAAATAATAACACAACAGTAGATTATAGGCTCAATTACATGTTGCCAAATCATTTTAAAAATCTTCTCTTGCATTATGTTTCTGATCTTTCTTCCAGATTATATGTAATCACATGACCATCCAACTTGATCCCATCTAGATATATCTCTTTTTTACTTTCGTTTTCATATATTTATTTATACTAATCCCAATTATTTTGGCTTTCATTAATCTCTTGTTGATTGTTATTAATTGTTTCTATCTTACTCAATTTCATCGAAGTCAATTGAATATTTCAGGTTGGTATGGATTTTCACACCAACATATTATATATCTTATTTTTAAAAGTTATACAATAGTTTTCAAAGGCAAAAGTCAATCTTACCAATTTTAGATTATGTATTAATAAAATAAAAAATATAAGCAAAAAACTTCAAATAATTAACAAAATTTAGTATAGGGAAGGTAATTTTATTGCAGATAGGCTGGCTAATATTGGTCTTGAATGTAGTTCTTTTACTTGGTGGGATTCTAATTAAATTATTTCGCTATTAATCTAATAACTATGAAAAAAATAATAAAATGTTATTTAAACTTTTTAGTCTATAATTGTTGCTTTTCGACAAACATACCAACCATGTTTTTATTTTTACATTTTTAAAATATTGTTAAACATGTGGAACATGTTTTTCAACCATTTTCAATATTTTATAAAAGATGATTTAGTTTGATAGAATACTGATCTATGTAAGAAAGATATGAAGAAATTCAAAATTGGAATAGGAGAAATTTGTAATAACAAACGGACAAGCTATTCAAAATAGAACCTATTGAAGAATACACTTTAGCTACACTTCAGCTCAGCTTATAGCTCTCATTAATGTTGCTTTAGTTAAATGTAACTATAGTTAACTAAATTAGTTGAGTTGGTTAGTGGAGTTGGTTAGTTGATTTAGTTAGAATTTACTTTTACTTAAAAGGTACTGTACAAAACATTTGTTTGATATAATTGAAGAATCTTCTTCTTTCTACAACTTTCCTCTCTACCAAAAATCTTTTATGGTATCAGAGCTCAGGGTTTGATCTCCTAAGAATTTTCTTCCTTTCTTCAACAACTAATCTTGATTAACTCATCAATTTCTTTGATATGGTTTAAGCTTCAACCTATTCTGCACAATCAGCTCACAGTGATGAATTCCAACAGTGAATCGATGATGAATCTCTCAGACATGAACTCGCCGTTGTATATTCATTCATCTGATACTTCGGGGGCTGCTTTGGTAATTGAACAACTTACAGGTACTGAAAATTACAGAATCTAGAGCAGAGCCATGACAGTCTCACTTAGGGCTAAAAATAAACTTGGTTTTGTTAATGGTACATGCAAGAAACCATTTAATTTGAGCTTAGGAGCACAGTGGGAACGATGTAATTCACTTGTCTTGGCGTGGATCTTTAATACAGTATCAAAAGAGATATTCAATGGCATTGTATATTCCACTAATGCATATCAAGTTTGGCAGGATCTACAAGAGCAATATCATAAAGTGAGTGGTACAAGAATCTATGGAATCCATCGAGAGATTGTTAACCTCACACAAGGTACTATGTCCGTAGCCATCTATTACAACAAATTAAAAGCGTTGTGGGATGAATTGAGTTCGCTAATTAGTTTACCACCACCTGATAGTATATCAGCTAAGGCTTATCTTGAGCATTTAAACCAATAGAGATTACTACAATTTCTAATGGGATTAAATGACACTTATTCTATGGTTCGAGCCAAATCCTATTGATGTCACCTCTGCCTTCTGTAAAACAAGCATATTTTGTTGTCAATCAAGATGAAAGTCAGAGAATACTGTCAGGCAATAATAGTGGCTCAGATGTAACCATTGCTTTGTATGCACAGAACACACAGAAAGGGCAAAACCACAATCCCAAATATAAAGGGAAAAGGCCTTATATAGAGTGTGAGTTTTGTCATGTACCAGAGCACAAGAGGGATACATGTTATAAAATTCATGGTTACCCGACTGATTACAAAGGGAAGAATGGATCAAAGAATAGGGCAGCAACTAATCAAGCACATACACAGCCTGATACAACCTCTAATACTCCTGTGGAATCACCAAAAGGTTCAAATGCACTAGGTACGATTCTTTCGGCAGAACAATACTCCCAACTACTCCAACTTCTTGGAAAGGAGAATATCTCAGCATCAGCTAATGTGGCAGGTATACCTACATCACTTTTATCCTGCTTTAATAACACTACAAGTTGGATTATAGATTCAGGGGCGATAGACCATATGACTAGTAGATTGTCTAGCTTAAATGCACCTATTGACACAACTTCTCATCTACAAACTTATGTTGGCCTACTAAATGGAACCAAAACCAAAATTAAGCACACTGGATTTGTTAGGATATATGATATGATTGGTCTAGATCATGTATTGAATTTATCGGACTTCAAATACAATATGTTCTCTGTTTCTCAATACACTTCAGCTAATAATTGTGTAATTGCCTTTTACCCTGATTTTTACTTAATCTAGGACCTCTGGAGTGGCAGGTTGAAGGGGATTGGTAAAAAATTTCAAGGCTTATATTTTCATGTGCCCTTCACACAATCATCACTCCACAACTCTGACATCAAAACCCTTGCCTAAATGCTTTCTACACCGAGTGTTTGCAATATAGTAATAAACAAAGTTTCAATTCCTAGTTCTAGGGCAATTTCTAATTTCAATGTTTGGCATAAAAGATTGGGGGCATGTCCCAAATCCTATTCTAAGACAACTGGTTAATAATTTTCCAATTTTCCAATTCTTCACATTGTCCAATCTGTTCTTTGGCAAAACAAACCAGAACACCTTTTTCTTTAAGCCAAAGTATTTCAAATTCAGTTTTTGATCTTTTGCATATGGATGTATGGGGTCCCTATAAGGTACCTACTTTTGGAAATGCAAGATTTTTTTCTTACAATTGTGGATGATTGCACTAGAGTAACATGGATTTTCTTAATGCAATTTAAATTTGATGTTTTTCAGTTGCTTAAAAATTTCTTAATCATGGTTCAAAATCAGTTTCATGTAACGCCTAAATGCATTCATTCTGATAATGACTTAGAGTTTTTTAATAAGAATTGTCATGATTTGTTAGCAAACCTAGGTATTCAGCACCAGAGTTCATGTGTTTACTCTCCACAACAAAATGGTATTGTGGAGAGAAAACACACACATTTTACAGGTTGCTAGAGCCTTAAAGTTTCACTCTAAATTGCCACACACACTTTGGGGCTACTGTATTCAAACAACAGTCTATTTAATTAATAGGTGCCCAACCATTGTCCTCAAAGGTCTCTCTCATTTTGAAAAATTATTTGGCACCCTCCTTCCTTGACACATTTGAGAGTCTTTGGTTGCTTAGCATATTCTACAATCCTTACTCCCAAAGATAAATTTACCCCTAGGTCCATTCCATGTGTTTTTGTAGGATACTCTTTAGATAAAGAGGGATATTTGCTGTACAACTTAGACACCCATACAGTTCATACCACTTGAGATGTGATCTTTTATGAACACATTTATCCTTTCAGCTTGTCCAAAACAGATTTGTTAGTTTTTCCATCTGATTCTTTTTTAGAAATAGATTGTTCCAATACACATCTTTCACAACCTTGCATACATGTAGATGACTTTCTAGGTCATACATCATATCCAGTTGTGTCTCCTAATTCCCCATCTATCTCCAATATACCTCTAACAACAGATTCTCCTATCACAAATACAACATCTACAGCTGATACTTCAGCTCAACCCTCTACTATACATTTAAGGAAATCCACAAGAATTACAAAACCTCCCATCTGGACTATAGACTACCACTGTCCTATACTTCCCTCTTCACCACAAACTCACTTAGTCAAATATCCAATTTCAAATTCCATAACTTACAGTCACCTTTCACTCACTTACCAAGCCTGGCGTAGCAAAATTTCCTCCTTAACTGAACCAGTTATTTTTTCCCAAGCCTCCAAAGATCCTAACTGGGTAGAAGCTATGTCAAAGGAAATTAAAGCTTTAGAGAACAATCATACCTGGTCATTGGTTCCATTGCCCCCTAGTAAAAGTCCAATCGGATGTAAATGGGTATACAAATTAAAGTTTAATGCTGATGGCACTTTGGAGAGGTATATAGCTTGGTTGGTGGCTAAAGGTTACACACAACAGATTGGAATTGATTATGAGGAAACATTCTCTCCTGTTGTTAAAATCGTGACTGTCAGGACTATTCTTTCTCTAGCTTCAATTCATGACTTGCCTTTGTATCACCTTGATGTTGATAATGCATTCTTACAAGGTGATTTATCAGAAGAGATTTGTGTGTCTTTACCTCAAGGTTTCCATAAACCTTCTGGACAGAATCTGGTTTGCAGACTTCACAAGTCCTTATATGGACTTAAACAAGCTTCTCGAGCCTAGAACTTTAAGCTCACTACAGCCTTGCTTCAAGGAGGATTTTCCCAAGCAAAATCAGATTATTCCCTCTTTATCAAAAGACATGGCACTCACATTGTGGTGATTTTAGTTTATGTTGAGGACATAGTCATCACTAGGAGTAATTCTGACATGATTCATGATACAAAAAGGTTACTTCAGTCAAATTTTAAGCTTAAGGATCTTGGGCTACTTAGATATTTCCTTGTTTTAGAGGTGGCTAGGTCTGATATTTCCATTTGCCAACGCAAATATACCTTAGAATTAATTTTTGCTACTGGTTTATCAAGTGCTAGACCTACTGTTATTCCTATTGACCAGCACATTAAGTTCACCTCTTTGGATTATGGTAAGCAGTTCAATGTTCTTGGAGATCCCTTACTAAAAGATGCTTCCGCTTATCAGCAATTAATTGGTAAACTGTTGTACTTATGTATGACTCGCCCTGATTTAAACTATTCAGTAAACTTGTTGAGTTAGTTTATGGATGCTCCTAAGGACTCACATATGCAGGCAGCTTTAAAGATTGTGAAATATGTTAAATCTGCTCCTGGTTTGAGGTTATTTTTTCCATCAACTGGTTCATTGCAGCTTACTACCTATTGTGATTCCGATTGGGCTTCTTGTTTGCTTACAAGAAGATCAATCATTGGATTTTGTGTTTTTTTGGGATCATCTCTTATCTCCTAGAAATTTAAAAAACAAGTGACGGTTTCTCGATCTTCTTCCGAAGCCGAGTACAGGGCCATGGCTTCTGCAGTTTGTGAAATCGTTTGGTTGGTGCAATTGTTGACAGAACTTGGTTATCCTCCTTTGTCTCCAGTTTCTTTGTTTTGTGATAACCAGTCAGCCTTGCACATTGCTTCGAATCCAATATTTCATGAACGCACTAAGTATATTGATATAGACTACTGTATTGTTCGAGAGAAATTGCAGGCCAGTCTTATTCAAACTCACTATATTCCCAGCGGTGATCAAAGGGCAAACATTTTTACTAAAGCACTCGGCAGTCAGCTACATCATCACCTCTTATCCAGGTTGGGAGTGTTGAATCTTTATCACTCACCACCGAGAGAAGGGGGGTTGGTATTGAAGAATACGCTTTAGCTACATTTCAACTCAGCTTATAGCTCTCATTAATGTTGCTTTAGTTAAATGTAACTATAGTTAACTAAATTAGTTGAGTTGGTTAGAATTTACTTTTACTTAAAAGGTACTGTACAAAACATTTGTCCAATATAATTGAAGAATCTTCTTCTTTCTACAACTTTCCTCTCCACCTAAAATCTTTTAAAACCAAATTCCCCTTAAACGAAAATATATTCGCTGTAGTGGGAGTGAATTTGCTATAGTGTTGTAGCGAAACGAAACGCGTTCATAATTGGAAAACACAAAACAATAGATAATCAAAATTAATAAAAAAGGCAAAAGATTTGATGATAGCAAAATGCTTTTACCCATCAATTTCGAAAGTAGAAGACAAGCATCAATTTTCCAAAGTTATATAAAATGTGAGATTGAATTTTATATAAATTTTTGGAAGCAATTTAACTCAATATATCTACTCAAATTTATAATTAGGAAGATGGTAAGAAAAACTTGTAAGAATGGGGCTAGGAAATGTCTAATAAAAGCCAAGTTTAGAGAGAGAAGCCGAAGAAAGAAATGAGATGAAAGCCCATTTAAAGAGAGAATTGAGGGCCACTTAAGAGAAGTAAATAAAGCTTATAGGTAAAGAGTAATTTGCACCTATCTCCATAAGAAAAAGTAGTGGACCATGTGAGTGAAGGTGATGGGGAGAAGTTAGAATCCACCACTAAATTTTATCTCCAATGGGACACCAAAGTGGTGTAAAACACCAATATGGTATCCAAATGTTACTTGAATCCAATTTTAAAAGTCACACCAAATTTGGTGTGACACTATTCATTCACACCAATTTGGAGAAATATTTGAACACCATTTTGGTGTTTTACACCAATTTGGTGTCCTATTGAAGAAAAAGAAAGAGAGTATTCTAATGAATATTCTTTTTAGTGTAACAGATTGGAGATGTAATAGTAAAATGATGTGAAGGTTGCATAATTTTGGTGTGAAAGTTGTACCAATTTGATGTTTGTGGTGGAAGATAGTCATAGTTATGAAGGGAAAGAAAGAATTCCAATAAATTTGGGTTGGAAATAAGTTATTCTAAAAGAGTGGGGTAGGTAAGCTAGAGAAGTAACCACCAATTAGTGAGGAGCTCTATATAAAGGGGTATAATCAAGAATTTGGAGATCAATAAGAAGAATAAGAAATTACTTTTGATGCAATTGAATCAATCATTTAACTTAGGCTCCCATTTTTGGGTATTCAACTACTAGAAGGGCAATAAAACTAAATCTCTTCGGGCAACTTAATTTTTGACGCAAACAATTAGGCTCCATTTGTTTCACTCTTTCGAATATTATTCTGGTTTTTCCCAATAAAGTTAAACAGTAAAATTGGTTTATTCTCAAAATATTATTCAATTTTTTTTAAACCTCCCTAAATTTGTTAATTTAACTAAACACCCCCAATTTTTTTTTTTTAGAAATTGTAAAAACACCTCGGCCACCCTCTGGCGATGGTGGCCGGCTGTCCGTATTTAATGGGTGGGTTAGGGGTGTTTTTGTTAACTTTTAATATTTTATTATAGGGGTGTTTAGTAAATAAACAAACATATGAGGTATTTTTGTTAATTTCCAAATCCTACATCGTAATACCCACCCAATTTAATTTTTTTCAAAATATTATTCTAAAAACTATCAAAATAATGAACCAAACGGACCCTTAGCATTTGAATTTCATTATGTCATAATAATTTTTAACTTCATAAGTTTGTTAATTTAACTAAACACCCCCAATCAGTCGATCGTGTGCCATTTCAATGACTTCCGGCTACCCTCCGACGGTGATGGTCGATTGCCGGCATTTAATGGGTGGATGGAAGTGTTTTTGTTAATTTTAAAACTTTTATTGTAGGAGGTGTTTAACTAAATTAACAAATATAAGAGATTAAAAATAATTTTATCAAACACATTTTCAAATTCAAATTAATAATAACCCAATTTAACTTTTTCAAAAATACACCCAAAATAATAAAACAAATACACTCTATGATATTTTATGTTGATAGTGGGAGGTTTTAGTAATTTCAATTTAATATTTAATTTTAACAAATTGATTTAAGTTTTTTTAATTACATCTATTAAACGTAACAAATCTTTATGCGTTGAATTCGGTTGTTATTTAAAGCATAAAAAATCAAATACTAATAACGAACAAATCTTGAAAGATCTTTACGGATTTTGTAATTTTCTTTGAGATTCAAAATTTCAAATCAGTAATGATTTTAAAAGAGTAATGCTACATTTACACCACCTATTACACCATTTTCATTACACCATGATGTGACATATCTCACATCTACATAAATTTTTAATTATTTTTAATTTTTAATATTATAATAAAATAATTATTAGTAAAATGATGGTGGTGTAATGAAAATGACGTAATGAGTGGTGTAAATATAATATTACTCATTTTAAAAATGGGAGTGCGCAATTTCTGACACATATAGGGATAATTTTGCAGTAAGACTGCATTGACCGACTGAAATACCGACTAACATATCCTGACTGACGTGTTAGTATATGTGGCATATGCCACACGTCAGATTCACGCTACACGTCAGATTCATGCCCAAAAACTTAAAAAAAAAAAAAAATTTAATTCCCTCCAGATCAAAAATCTCTCTCAAAAATTTCACACCTTCTCCTAAATCAAATTTCACTCATTCCCCTAAATCAAATCTCTCCCAAAATTGAAATTGCTCTCCCACCACCACCACCCTACCACTAGCACCGCAAGCTATCGTCTTCCACCACCACCACCCCACCACCAGCACCGTGGGCTATCGTCTTCCACCACCACTTGTAGTAGTCATTTGGTCTGCCTCTTCCACCAACGCTCTATCCTTTACAAGACCCACACTTTTCGAGCCTCTACCACCACCGCCGTCTGTCCTCTAACACCACCACCACTCGCCGTAGTCCATAGTGGAAAAATTACGGCAAATCCTGGAGATTACATTGCAGTCTTTACCTGAAACTGTTGCCAGCTTGAAGGAGAAAATTTCTGGGGAGATCCAACTTCCTGCAAACATACAGAAATTGAGTGGAAAAGCTGGTTTTCTTAAGGACAATATGTCACTGGCATATTTTCTTAAGGACAATATGTCACTGGCATATTATAATGTTGGAGCTGGAGAAACACTTGCCCTTTCTTTGAGAGAGTGTGGCGGTAGAAAGAGATAGTGGGTTCCTTAACAGGGGTTTTTATAAGGTTTTTGTTGGAACTTCCTTGTTACCGTTAAGAGTTTTACAATTTCCCTATAATATGACCGGAGTCTTTTATTCTACCTTCTATGATGTTATATGTTGGATGAAATATTGTTATTTACCTTTAGAGTAACTATTTGAGACCTCTTATTGGAGTCTTTGAAACTGATGATAAATTTGATATCTACTACAGATCCAGCTTCTTGGCATGTCTCTCAGGTGCAATGAAAATTAAAGGAGTTCGTTTTGCTTAGGCAGAGCAAGTCATCTACTTATTCTACTATTTAATTGCTCTCTTTTGCATCTGAAGTCAATTCTCTTGAGAATCTATTATTGGTAGTTATTATTGTATACATTATCCATTATTAGGAGTGTCTTGGTGTTGAACATACTTGTACATGTTATTTCTTGAGTCTATTTTTAAATTTATAATTGCAAGTTTTGATCCTGGACAATGTAGTGATTTAAAGGCCTTTTATATTTTTCTTTCTGCTAGAATTCAGGTATTGTTTTGTAGGAAGCATGGTAGCACCTGGATGTGATGAGGTAGACGGTTTATTTAGTTTGTGCCAGAATCCAAACCTTCATATGGGCGTCTTGTGTGGAGCTTATGGCTTAATAGAATTTTATTTTGCTTCCATGTTTTGCTTCAACCAAGTTAGAACATATTATTTTTAGTTGGAAGTTGAAGCACCACCACACAATATTGAACTTTGAAATTATTTAGTCATGCTAAGATGAGGTTGAATGCAATTACTCTCGACCTTCATATTGAGCAGATTGAATTGTGTGCAGATTGCGAAAACTTGAAAGGCCATAGTGGAAATTGAGAAAACTTGTTTTGGCACTGTGCAGATTGAGCAGGTGTGCAGATTCTGCAGTTTCCAGGAGTCTTGGGCAGTATGTGCAGGGTGTTGTGTGCTGGAATTGAAGTAGTGATCTGCATGGTGGTGTGTATGGAGACAACAGATTGCTGCATTTCTGCAGTTTCTGGGTGAAGTCATCAGTTTGGTGTCTTGTGTTTGTGACTTTTCTGTTGCTCATGTTTTTTTTGTGTAGTTTAATCCCTTGGGCATGTCCAAGGTTCACGGTTCAAAGGCAGTCCCCTTTTTAGGTTGTAATTCGTTTATTTTCTAAAAAATTATCGAGTTTCCTAATAAAAAAAACTGCATCTTTAATGTTTACAATAATTAAAAGCAGATTACACATGATTTCTACCATCATAGTTTGAAGAGGAAAAGTTGGCTTCGCTTTGGCACCAAAAATAAAATAGAAAATTCCATAGAATTGTATTATTGATCATGCGCAATAAATAGAAACATATTGTCACATAAAAGAAATAAATAAAATTCATGAAAGATATCATCATGGTGGTTTTTCTCCAGTTTCATCCTAAACAGCAAGTTCCATCCTAAACAACTTCGAGTTCCATCCTAACATCCTCAAGATATTTACAGCTGATTTTTTCAAATTCTACAGCTTCTCACAATTCTGTACAAACTGGAGAAAGACTGCAACTTCTCAAATTCTGCAGCTGCAGTAGAAACTTATCCAAGCTTCCCATCCAACAAACTGGAGAAAGACTGCAAGGTTGATGGTTCCAGCAAGATTTTTTTTGTTTTTTTTGTAATCTAGAAATTTATAAAAGATTAAAAATTATGACAACCTAACAAGGGGACTCCCCTTTAAAACTAATCTTTTGGATAAGCCCAAAGGACTAAGCAAAAAAACAAATAAGAGCAAACAAAAGGATATACACCCTTTTACATAAAAGCAAACAAAAAGATATACACCCTGTACAAAAAGGACAACAAAAGCTATACATTTTTCTCTAGTATAAGCATCATAAGTGGCAATTTGTACAATCTGCCAAGTCAAAATCAATCCGAGAGAGCTCCAAAATATCAGCTTCCTGCTGCTGATTGCTTCTACACAAGGTATAGTACAATGGACTCTGTCCACTATCTGTAGAATGTCTCCAAATCAATGAACATGCATAAAAAAAATGGCAGCATAAAAAGACTATTAAGCAATCTAATTACTCCAGTTTTAATTTGAACACCTAAGTCAAACAGTATCAAATCAATGGAGTTGATGCCCTCAGCTGATGAAAATGAACATCAACCTCCTGATCTTTATGTTTTTGATCCCTGTGCAAGATACAACAAGAACTCAACACATTAGTAGACTGGGAAATTTACACACACACACACACATATAGTACATGTGATTCTAAAATAAAAATCTTGAGCTCCATACATTTCTACGATTCACATATATGTTGAAACATCAACTTAAACAAAGAACATAAATAAATACATAGCTGAGAGCTTCATAAATCCAGTATGAGATTAGGATTAGAACTCATAGCAATTCCAACTTTCGCAATTTCTATTTTGGCTTTACGAACAATTGTTCAACCTTCGACTATTCTTTTGAATGGCGGACGGCTTTGCTACGAACAACCCGTGGAGTAGAATATTACTGCTTCCCCTTTGGAAGTACCGCAACAACTTCACCATTGTTGTACATTAGATGACTTGTTTAGTCTTTATCAATCTCGCCAACACTTTGATGCGACATCAATTTGTTCTCCATATCATTGATCATTTGCATCACCATATTACAATATCCTCATACTTGATGCCAAATCTGCTACCTTAGTGAACGAATTACACAACTGATCAAATCGTTTTCCTTCAACATTAGTGCTCAACTATTATAACTTTATCTAACCTTGGTATACATTGATTTATTTTTCCTCCACCGCCTCAAATGTATTTTTCTGGTACTTGGAAAATTTGCTTACGCGTGCAACACGCAATGCATGTCGACACAAAATTCCTCTAAACTCAAACAATCGACAGTTGCAACGAATACGCAAGATGCTTCATCAAAGCAAACAACAAAAGGATCAGACGGCGAGTCTCTCCAACCACAACATCTTCTTACTATAAATTCCGATAAGAATCAATCTCTTTGAGAAACAAAAATCACAATAGAGCTTACCAGCAACCTCTTGTTGAAACTCTTAAATTTCCCAATGGATATGCATCTTGAAATGTTTCTCAATAGCATAAGTGCTTATGCCAGGGGCATGATGTGAAAGATTTAAAATCAGCCTCCCTTTCTTTTTCCACTTTATCACGCAATGCATTTTCATATTGTTCCACAAACTGTTTTAAAGTGGTTTTTGAATTGACATACATCAAAGAATGCATGCATGCTTTCACTAGTTGAGTAGTAGACAATACCGCCCGAAAGTGTCTTTCAAAAGCCGGCACCCAACGTCGTCTTTCATTATACAATCCAAGTAACCAACCATTATCGTGAAGGTTGTATATCAATGAATCTATTCCCACGTTCATAAACACCTCACGTGTCAATGAATCATACACGACATTCTGCAAAGAAAACTTAATATGTTCATATTGGCCATAACCTCTTAACTTTTCAGGCAATTTCTTCAATATATGCCACAAACACCATTTTGTTGTATATTAGGGAACACAATCTCGATTGCATTTTGCATTGCCTTATCTTGATCAGTGAATGCCTTAGGGGCACAATTAGCATACATGTGAGCCAAGATTGAAAAAGCATACAAATGTTTGTGTGTCCTCGTTGGAGACTAACCACAACCTAACAATATTGAGTGGCCATGATGAACACCAACAAAACAAGCAAACGGCATATCATACTTGTTGGTCAAATAGTCGTGTCAAATGTACAACGTCACCAAATTCTTTAAATGCGGCCCTACTTCTTGCATCCACCCATAAAACATTTTTTAATCGACCCTCTTCATCTAAATCCATGGTGTAGAAGAATTTGAATTCTCATTTTGCATTTTCAAAAAATGTTTGGATTGCAGAAGCATCTCCAACACCAAGTCGGAGCCTCCTAACTTTTTCAATGTAGTTTCTACAATCTTCTGTAGGAAAGGCAAATTCTCAGCACGCCTGCTTCAACTAATAAGGAATGAAAACTTTTATTTGGCCTAATCCCAGCCTATCATTCACTTCCAACTTCCTTTTCACATACGGTTGTATTACACGATTGCTCTTGAAAAATCTAGTTTTGGCAGGACTACTAAGTTCATGGTTATGCAAAGACTATGAACATTCTGCCATTTTCCGTCAGAACGTACCGATGCACCAATCCGAGCCTTACAATCAGTTTTTGTCCCGGGATGCATTTTAAAGGCATTTCTAGAGGTTATTGCTCGAATTCCCACTACGAGAACAACAATGTCGCAAATCTTACCTCTCCATCATCTCCTTTCTTTGAAGTTCTTACAATTACTTCAAAACCCATTTTATTCCCATAGTTTTTGTAGTGTTGGAAAAGCTTATCAAATGAATCAAAAGCATTCCAGGCCTAGGCTTCCATCTCTTCTACACTTCTTGTATCTCTTGTTTTTGTTTATATATCCTAATTTATTGATATAATAAGAGCCAAAATTAGAAATAAGATACTTAAAAAAGGTAGCAATATAACCATAGAAAGATAAAAATATTACTGAATAAAAAGAAATTACAAAGAGATTACCTCAGCGACATTCAATTGAGAAAAAGAGCTCTTGATTTCTTTTGACTACTCTCTTCCCTTTGGTACTAGATGTAAACAGATTACCCTAAATAAATACAAAAATATTTTCATGTTATATAATATGATTCAATAATTTAAATGAAAAATAATATTTTTAATTAAACAATTGTTGCACCAGAAAAAATATATATGACCAATAAGTGTAACGCATTTTCCCTAATTAGTATCAGACTAAAATTAAAACTTACCACCACTCAAACAAACAGTTAGCTCACTTGGTTCCTCCAAAGCAGCACAAATGGCCCCATAACAAACCTTTATCCAATTTTCCTGCAAGAAGCAGTATACCATCTTCAAAATCCTACTTCTACAGCGAACAAATTGGACAACACATACGAAATAACAAGTCATGAGCAAAATCACAC